AGTTATATGGGAGTGTTTGAATAAACTATGTAAACATAACACATGGTTGTACAAATAAAATATAACTAATTTATAATTTATCAATTACATATTTGGTTGCAAATAAATTCTCAATCCGAAAGTTGAAAGTCAATATTATTAATAAGAATTAGGGTTTAGTGTTGTGAAAGCATTAAACATGCTAATATATCATTTAACTATCAATTGTTCAAATATATTCTCAATGTCATTAATACTAATAAGTTTTATTACATGAAACACATGATCTCATTATTTATTCGTTATAGCTAATTTTTATTATAGTAAACACTCAAATACATTATATGTCCCTTTGTGCATTTTGTTACGGAGTCTACTGTTAACTAATATGTAGTCGTTATGTGTGATCCAAGTCACCCTATATCTATTTGTCTATGTAGACGAAAATTCAAAATAGATAAACATAAATTTTCTTCTCATTTATTATGACAAGGAATACTATCACAAATTTCTTTCTCATCTTATAATAATGAAGTTAATCCTAAGCTTCATCCTTATCTTTTTAAGGTAAAAATATATATTCTGAATAGTAGGGAGGATTCTCTTTTAGAACGATTCGAACCCATATTTGAGAGACTTTGGTTTAGCAACTTGAGTATTAAAGGGATCTGAGTCGAAAAACCTTTCTTGATCTTAGTCTTCATACAAGTGACACTTTGAGAGTAGAATGTTTCCACATCCAAAATACCTCGGATAATTTTACTCAAAGATCATATCAAGTTGATCAAAACATGTTTGCACTATAAGATGTATAGCATAAGCCACCTTTGTATTTATAGTCATTATGTGCATTTGCATGTTGTGTATGCATAGTGGACTGTATCTTTTGTGAGATATCTAACAATATAAATTTTGGTAAAATTTTTTTAATAGTATTTATGAAATAAATTACCTTCCAAATAATCACCTAAAAGAGATCTTTAGTTCTATTGCACATTTTAAATTAGAAATTAATTTTAAAGATATACTATTTAAATTAGGATGAAGATGCATACCACATGACCTAAAATATTTAAATATAAATTATTATAGATGGATACATCCATCCTTGTGTCCTAATAAATATATCACTTTAACAAGCTTATTCGACGACAAAGATAATATTACTTTTTCTTTGACTTGTGTCATGATATAGGTAATTTTATAATGAACAAGTTCCCAGGTCCTAATAGATTGTTATAACAAATAATATCATAATTAATTTTTCTTATATTAAATTTTACCTATAAATTTTATATTTTTAATATTTTCGAAATTGATTATATCTTTATAATTTGATGGATCAAAAGTGATGATAATCGCACTTGTAGATATATAATTCCAACATTCCTAATTTATTATTAGAGATATAATATACTATTATTTTTTTATAATATTTGTTTTTTGAAGTAAAATATGATCTAACATTTTGCCACCAATTACTGCAATAAAACAACAACAACAAAGAATTCGATCAAAAATCCTACACTCAAACAAAACCAACCTCTCTTCTCTATCAATTCTCTATGAAACAACGCCAACATGATCTCAATGCTGCGACGTAAATACATACCAAAGCACAACCGCTGCAGAAGGAAGAAAGAAGAGATGACTGTGAACGAAACACATCAATCAGCTGTGCTGCTAACACACCTCTTCTTTCCGAGCAGCTGCCCTTCTCCGGTCCCAGCCATAGCTTCCGCTCGCACTTCAACACCCGCCTCGTCTTCCTCGGCTCGGGCGAGCAGCTCGGTGCAACAGATGGCAGCTTACTCTCTACGGAGGTCGGCGTGCGGAACACCTCCTCGTCATCCTTCGATGGTAGCGTTGCGCTTCCACGTTCCTTGTTTGAACGCAAGGCTTACCGCCGGGGCTCATCTTCTTCTATATGAGTAACCGATATCATTAAATTTGAAAGGGTTATTCTATATGACCGGTTGATGTGCACGAGGAAGAACGCAAGGCTTGTCTTCTTCTATATGATGTAACAACCGTTTGGAAAGTAGTTTTAAGATTAGAGATACGTGTTTAAAAGTGAATCGGTTTCATTATCGTGATCTTATCACTATCCGATTTCCATTACACAGATCCAAAGACATCACAATATATATATATATATATATATATATATATAACAAATAATATAAAATTATAAATATTAAAATATAATAAACAAAAAGATTGTGTCAAGTCACACATGCTTGTTGTAGTTAGGTAGTAACTTTCTTATGTTCTATGCACAATATATAATGATGAATAGATTGAATTACTTGTTGGATTTTATGGTCCTTTATAATTGGATAAGATATATAACGTAATTAATTGGATTCTGATGACATATATTACCCAATAGAAAAGAAATCCATATTAAAATAAGATTCCTTAGGGGATACCCTTCATGGGAGGAAGTCTCCTAATAATTTATTCTAAACCCTCTGCTCTTATATATAAATAGCTAAGATCTCTAGATCCTGTAAAAGGATAGGAAGAGAGGAAAGGATTTAGTTCTCTTCGCAGATCGACAATGATCTTGGATCTAAAAATGGTGCCTTTGCAGATCACAGAGAGATTTTTTTTCAGATGACATCTAAAGGTATGTATCGTAAAATCATATCTAATTTTATTTGATTTCAATCGTGACATAAAAGATTGTTTATGCATTTAATATAGCATATTATAGATTTTATGCTAACATTACTCTTGTAAGACAACCTTTGGCATCCTGCTTTCGCCGTTATTTGTTTAAGGTTTCAAAACTGGATGGACTTACTTTCTAACGTTATTTATTCGTTAGCAATTAAGAGTGTCGGTATAGAGTTAGAAGTATTGTTACTGTAGATTGAGTCTATCGTATGCTTCAATGGATTCAATTCAAAGAGGAGAATCGAGAGTGAGTGATTCATAAAGTTCTTGTTTAATCATTTGTAAGAAAGGCGAATCCCAATTTGAGTTAGTTCTTTTTGATAGAATGGAATGGAATTTATAGAATCTAGATAGTTACTCTAGTATCGAATGTTGTAATAGGAGAGGAGAAGCAAATAATCAAACTTGAAAGATGTTAATTCATAGCTTAGATATTCCCCCCTGCTTGCTTGTTTCTCCCAACTCACTAAAGCACCCCCTTGCTTTAAGATATGGGGTATGTATTAAGAACGGAGTGTGCACCTCCTCTCATGTCATTTAGTAATTGAACTCCTGACTCTATAGCCTTTCCCCATAAAATGCATTGCTATTACTATCACTAGTATAGTACTTCATTCTCTGGTTGACACCAGCCCAACTCCTGACTCTATAGCCTTTCCCGATCAAACACTTACTCATTGCATTGCTATTACTATCACTAGTACACTACTTAATTCTTGTCCGTCCCCTTTGAGACCCCCTAACAATCATGTCTTATCTTTTCTTTGTCTGAGACCCCCTAACAATTATCCCAACTTCTTCTTTTATATGTTATAGTTAAGAAGCATCTTTATTATCTCTAACCTTCAAAACACTTTAAAGGAAGAAGACAAGCCTTGCGTTCTTCCTCGTGCACATCAACAAGTCATATAGAATAAACCTTTCAAATTTAATGATATCGGTTACTCATATAGAAGAAGACGAGCCCCGGCGGCAAGCCTTGCGTTCGAACGAGGAACGTGGAAGCGCGACGCTACCATCCAAGGATGACGAGGAGGCGTTCCGCACGCCGACCTCCGAAGAGAGTAAGCTTCCGTCTGTTGCACCGAGCTGCCCGCCCGCGCCGAGGGAGACGAGGCGGGTGTTGAAGTGCAAGCGGAAGCTATGTCTGGGACCGGAGAAGGGAAGCTGCTCGGAAAGAAGAGGTGTGTTAGCATCACAGCTGATTGATGTGTTTCGTTCACAGTCATCTCTTCTTTCTTCCTTCTGCAGCGGTTGTGCTTTGGTATGTATTTACGTTGTAGCATTGTGATCATGTTGGCGTTGTTTCATGGAGAATTGATAGAGAAAAGACGCTGGTTTTGTTTCTGAGTATAGGATTTTTGATCGAATTCTTTGTTGTTGTTGTTGTTGTTTTATGCAGTAATTGATGGCAAAATGTTAGATCATATTTTACTTCAAAAAACAAATATTATATAAAAAAATAATAGTATATTATATCTCTAATAATAAATTAGGAATGTTGGAATTATATATCTACAAGTGCGATTATCGTCACTTTTGATCGATCAAATTACGTTCCGACTTGAAGGTACATTCATTTTGTAATTCCTTCAATTATAAAGATATAATCAATTTTGAAAATCTGATTTGAATTTAAATTTTTATTTATATATGTAATAATAATTTGATAGTAATGTTGGAGATAGAAGTAGGCATTGAATTAGTGGGTCTTCGTGCATGAAAGAGAAGTGTTGGGTGAGGGTGTGAAGTCCTTTTCTAGGATAGTGATAGATCAACGACCACATTGTTGGGTAGGTGATGAAGATAGGTCTCTTAAATAAATTGTCAAAAATTTTATAACTAACATAAACTTATTTATGATGTGATTTGAGAGAGTTTTGTTTTTTGTTCTTCATAAAAATTATTATAGATAAAATTTAGATAGGTGTAAGTAGTTTTCGATCGATCGCATGATATTAGTATTAATGAATCAAATGTCACTTTTATTTTTGGGCCAACAACAATTCCCAGCACATAATATTTATCTATTCACAGCTATGTAACATAATTATTATTATTAGAATCCGGTTGGTTATCAGATCAGTTAAGTAGTTTAGTTGATTGGGTCAATTGATAAGTCATATGTTTTACAAAAAAAAATTGATAAAATATTATTATATGTTATGTTAAAAATATAAAATTTATAGGTAAAATTTAATATAGTCAAGTTTTGTCCTCAACTAGATTTATTTAGCATAATTGACTCAACATGTTTATGTTTCGAGTCTTGACTATATATATATATATATATATATATATATATATATATATATAAAGAAGAAAGAAGCGGCCTTCTGACTACCAACGAAGCCTACATCAAACACTCATCTTTCTCTGGTTCAATCACGGCGACGCTACGGGGTCTCTGACCGCTCCCTCGCTTTCCTCTGTAACCTTCTTTGGCTTTCTTGGCTACGTGAGCCTCGCAATTCTGTCATCCATGCGTTCCTCCTTCACGATGGGGAGGTCACAGCCTGTCTCTGTCCCGCTGCTCTTCCTTCCTCTACTCCTCTGCTCTTCATCTCTCTCCTTCGGCTTCGTCAGCGCCGCCGGGACTGCCGACGGATCTGAGGAGTGGGGTTACGTCCAAGTCCGGCCGAGTAATCTCTTCGATTCTTTCTTAGTGGAGTTCTCCCACCCATCTCTAAGTTTCTGACAATGGTCGCCGCTTGCCTGTTGCGGAACGAACGAACGCAGAAGCGCACTTGTTCTGGTGGCTTTACCGGAGCCCGCGGAGAGTCGACACCGGCTCGTCGCCGTGGCCGACGCTGCTGTGGTTGCAGGGCGGACCTGTAAGTCTCCCATAAGCAAATCCAGTGTTGTTCCTTCCTTCATGCCTGTGGGTTTGCTTGGTGAAAGGGCGGTTCGGGCGTTGGGATCGGGAACTTCCAAGAGATCGGACCGCTGGACACCGATCTGAGGCATCGGAACTCGACATGGCTGCAGAAAGCCGATCTCCTGTTTGTGGTGAGTCCTGTTCCACGTCTCCCGCCGCCCGTTGGACGTTTGACGCGATTCCTCTCTGCCTACTGGATGGAAAACGCAGGACAATCCGGTGGGGACGGGATACAGCTTCGTGGAGGACGAGAGCCTCTTCGTGAAGACGGATTGGGAGGCAGCCACGGACCTGACCACCCTCCTCAAGAAGCTCTACGACGAGGACGAGTCCCGGCAAACGAGCCCACTGTTCATCGTCGCAGAGTCTTACGGAGGGAAGTTCGCCGTGACCGCAGGCTTGTCGATCCTCAAAGCCATCGAGGCTGGAGAACTGAAGCTTAAGCTCGGAGGTCGTCAGTCCTCTTTTCTTCTCTCTGGTCTTTGCAGACGCATCCAGTTTCTTACCTGTTTGATGCTTGCAAGCAGGCCTTGCTCTGGGAAGCAGCTGGATTTCGCCGGAAGATTTTGTGGCAAGTGCTCACTGCTTCTTCTACCTCAGGCAGAGATAATTCTGATGCAAAGGCCATGATTTTGTTCTTCATGCAGTTCTCTTGGGGGCCTCTGCTTCAGGATGTCTCAAGGCTTGACATCAAAGACGCAGTGAAATCAAACATGTACTTCTCCTTCTTTCTTCAGCGAGAAGCATACTGATACCTACGATCTAATATAGATGCTGCAACTTTTCAGTATGGCTGAAAAGATTAGGCAAGAGATAAAGAAAGGGGAGTATGGCAATGCCACGAACTCATGGGGTGAGCTGGAGGAATTCATCAGTTCTAGCAGCAATGATGTGGTCAGTGGAACACTGTAACCAGTTGAATTCAACTAGAATCACTCCATCAGCTGATGCTCCACGCTTGCAGGACTTCTACAACTTCTTGCTGGACTCTGCAAGCGATCCCATTTCTCAGGCAGCAGTCGAAGTACCGCGAAGGTTATCGATGAAGATATATCCAACTTATCTGAGCTCCAAGGCTTCTTCCATGTCCACTGACATCTCCAGTCTCATGAATGGTGCCATCAAGGATAAGCTAAAGATAATCCCAAAGACTGTGAGGTATGTGATATGGTCAGATCCAATTCTGGAAGTAGAAGCTCGGTTCATTGCCGTTGCCTTGTGTTTGCAGCTGGGGAGGGCAGGCTGATCTTGTCTTCGAAGCTCTTGCAGGTGACTTCATGAAGCCAAGAATCAATGAGGTTGTCGATTGATTTTGAGTACTTGGCTTCTTCTTGTTCATGCTTGCTCTTGTCATGAGTTGACCTTACATTTACAGGTTGATGAGCTCCTTTCCCTGGGAATCAATGTTAACATCTACAATGGACAGGTATGAGTTACTTAGAAATCCATCCCTTTGGGGTCACTACTTTCATGTCCTGGTACTCTTGAGGTGTTGTTTCAACATCAGATACATGTAGAGCAAGCAACAAAAGATAAAGATGGGAAGAGAAGGTGGAAGACAACCTCTTCTAGTCCACATTGCTGTCATGCTGTGTAGAAAGCATGAGTAGCATGAGTGGTTGATCAAAATAGTGGTGGTCTTTAAACTTTAATATCTGAACATAGTAGGACATGAGTAGACCAACATTTTTGGCATCCTCTGTTCTGCTCCCATGGCCAGCTAATATGATGGTGATTGGTGACCATGGTGGAAGGAGATGCATTTGCCTGAGAAATCACAGATTTAACTTGGATATAATAACAAAAGGAAAAGCCCATTGCATATTAAGCAGTAATATTTTTTGTAATTGAGTTCCTTCCCTATTCACAGGTTGATCTGATTTGTGCAACAAAAGGCACAGAGTCATGGGTCCAAAAGCTCAAGTGAGCATCACCACAAACTACAAGTTCAATGCTTTCTTCTCCAGCTGGAGGAATGAGGTTTCATTTCCTCCATGTTTCTGCAGATGGGAGGGGCTGAAGACCTTCAACAACATGGATCGAAAGCCATTCTTCTGCGACAGTGAAGGAATGGCAGTCACCAAGGGATTCCTAAAGTCTTATCAGAACTTCCACTTCTATTGGATCCTTGGAGCAGGACATTTTGTAAGTGTTCTTTGTCTTCCTTTTCTTGAACCTAAACCCAAACCCAAACCTGAATCCTTAATCATCTAACTGTTTATTCAAACCCGGATTACTGAACCTGTTCTAGAGCCGATTAATGGATACCCGAGTCTAATTTAAACAGAAATCCAAAAATATCCGAATCTAAATTCGATTAATTATGTAGGAACTAACTCAGATAGGTAACTAATGTATTACTAGAGCCAGTTTAGAAATAGTTGAAAGCAACAGACAGTATTAGGAGAAAAAGAAATCTATCTATTACAACCTGTTAGTGATGAGATTGGAATACATCAAGTGGAATCATTGCATTCAATGCCTAATTTCCTACAATGAGATATGGGAATCACAAGAGTCACTGCTTTTGTTGGTATTGGAAATTTGATGTTCTTCAAATATCTATTGAAGGAGACATGACAAAGTGGCTACAAAAGTAGACTTCCAAAGAGACATCAATAACTGTTTACATAGGCCTACAATTAATGAACACTTAAAAAACAAGTTATAAGTATTATTATATATCATATAATCATGCAAGGTAGATGCTTATAATTGATATCTCTTCCCACTACATTGAAATTTATTTCGAATTAATTCTTATTTTTAATATAAAAAAATGTTGATCTATAGTCTCCCAGTAATCAAATCCTTTCATCACTGATAATGAAAAGAACTATAGTCACAATCTCACATACACATGACATGTTAATCACCAATTCAAAAAATATTTTCAAAAATCAACCCAGAAAATAATTATGTTTTTTATTTATTTATTTTGTCAATTTGACTGTTTTGTGATGTACCATACACAGAATTGTAGCGTGAGAATCCAATTAATATTAGGGTTTACAAGTTAGATAATTCTCATTGTTTTGAGCAGGTACCAGTTGACCAGCCTTGTGTCTCACTGGAGATGATTGCTGCCATTACCCAATCTCCTGCTGTCTCTTCCTGAAGGAGGGAAATGCTTCCAGGCTTCTACAAAAGAGCAATACAACAAAGAAATAAATGCTTATGAAATAACAGCATCAATAGAAGGGTAATTCTGATCACAATAGGAGAGGGTTTAACTGCAACGATATATTATTCTCCTACTACTACCTCTATCTTTGTCTTGCATGTTTGATGAAGAAGCCTTATATTGCTTGAAATCAATTGCAAGATATCATCAATTTTATGGATCCTGTCCTCACTCAAACTGAACCATGATAACTTACCTGGAGTTGTTAATTGCCAGCATGAAGAAGAGCCATTACCACACCTGCATGTTCTTGCAGAGAATAAACGAATGAGCACTCGATAGTTCTTAAATTAAGCAATTAGATAACTTGAAAGATGGTACACTAGATGTTAAAATCGAAAAGAAATCACTTGCCAATAAGTTAGTTTGTGCTGATGAACATGATGTCAAGTACAACTAATAAGGGAAACATGATCTTTACAAATTCATAATGTCATATATGAGAAATCAGCTTGATCTGGTATTAAGAAGCTAAAAGGACTTTAGACAGTGAGGTACATAGCATTGCCTATCCATGGAGGAAGACTGACTCATGGCCACACCCCCACACATATTCTCTCGGGCATTGTCAGTAGAAAACAACTTGAAACTGATGGAACAAGTCCAATAAAAAAATAATGAACAAATGACACTTACATTGACTTTAAATGTTAGGGATTGACTTCCTCCCAAGCACAGCAGCAAAGAAAAAAGATAGCGAAATGAGTAATATGGTGCATTAACATTGGATTCCTGTAGTCAATCAGAGCTATCTTCACTATCATCAGATTTATATCTAGATTCGATTATAATCCGGGCTCCAGAAGTAAGCCTGCAGGAATAAAACGGAAGAAAAATTGAGGGGGCAAATACCAATAGCCATAAAAATTCATCCAAGGGATAGATAGTGTGAGCAATATAACTCAACTTTCTTCGATCTTGATCATCTTGTCCTTTAATTCTCTAAAAGATTCTAACCTCATGGATGATCCCTTGATTGAGGAACTATCTATTGTCCTTTTACTTCCACCATTTGATGAATTGAGTGGTGAGGAATTGCAAATATCTGGCCCAGCTGAAGACTTCCTTATATCCAATCTCGGGGACATCATTGATTCATTCTGGTGAGCCCTGGAATGCTTGCAGGAAGTAATTTTGATATTCATAGGGAGACATTTCGATTGGGCTGAATCCACTGTCTTCTCTTTGTCCCTTCTCCAATAAGGCATGTTGCAGTTCCTGCATCATTTGGAAATCTTAGAATATATCTACAAGAGGACATCAAAACAATAGGGACTATGCCACCAATAGAGCACCGCAAACCATATTCAAAAAATGACAAAACAGATCTGAGCATAAGCAGTCTGAAAGGAAGGACTTTCACAAGTGATATAAGATACAAGTTTGGACACAGCCCAACAACAAGAAATAGAAAAGAAAATTAAACAGCCAAACTTGGAAACTTAAAAATATAATGCATGCTGCATATGCATATGCAGATGTACACACGGGTGAACATCATAAGATAGGTAGGTATTTTCAGTTGTGATATTCGATGTAATGAGTCAATATTGTTCAGTGCACGGTAATTGTCTACCAAGCTCTTGCAAAGCCAACTATCATAAGTTCATCAACCAGAAACTTCCAAAGAGTATTGTAGATCAAACTATAACTAGAGGTGCTTAATTCCTTGATGTGGAGACTTTTATTGTCAGAATAAAATAGGGAAATGATCAAGTGATCGTTTACTCTCTTATTTTTCTATCCATATCCATGACTGGAAAGTTGTGAAGATTTTATGGTAACATAGGTGCAATCCTAATCAGATAGGAATTTTACATTAAGAAGAGTTGATTTTGACAAGTTTAATGAAGCTTTGTAAAATTGCATGGGTGTCCATTAGTACTTTGCAGCCAGGACAGTCCTGACATATGAATTAAGTAGTATATATGATGGTCCATCCCTCTATTCAAGTGTGAAATGGTCCAGATGGTCCAACCCATCTTTCTCTCAGAAGCCATCTAGTTCAGAACACCATCAAACTCAACAATCTGTACCACAGTCCTAATGAATGAATTTCCTTTACTTGTGCACATGGGATTGCATTTGCAAAGAATTTAAATAATAATCTTTCACAAATCAAAAAAGTTTGACTTGAGAGTTCTGTTGATCATTCTAGTGTTTTCAAGCTGTTCAAATCAAAGCCGGCAAGCATACATAAATGTACCATAAGCAAGACTCTAAATGTATTATATGTGTATATGGAATATAGTTACAAGCATCTGGAATGGAGTCATGAATCCAACAATCCAGACAAGTGTGAGGAAATAGGCAAATCTGATACTGAAACACTTAGAAAAAAGTAAGTTGGACGCAGAGATATTTGGAAATTTTATACAATGATAGTTTCCAGTGATATCATACCAACCTAGCTAGAACTACAGTTCAAGCAAATGTCAAAGGCAAGCTTGTAAATAATGATCATCCAAGGTTATTGAGATTTCCTCACTACTATAGATCAAACAAATCTTTTGATATCTATGTACATCGATTGTGATTTCAGCCATTCTTCAGTGCAGCCAAACTAGAAAAGAAAATTTCAATTTTCCTCGAAAAGATATGTTTCTATCTAAATACTTGATAACCTGCAAATATTGTGGGCCTGAAAGAGATAAAGTAAACAACTTGTATATGAATGTACAGATAACCTTATGGTCAGGTGAAGATGAGATGATTTTACCACTAATTTCACCAAGTAAGCTTCTCAAACAAACATGCTTATATAATCATTCTCAGACTACTCAAGTTTAGGCAAAGGCTAGACAATTTAGTAGGATACAGGCAGAACATTAACACTTCATGGAAAGACTCATATTCAGATTTTTCACTAAAATGTTGAAGTTCTGCACTACCTGGCCTCGTCAAAGGAAGATGATAGTTTTAGATTAGAGATTTCTTCCCCTGTTTCCTCTGTGTACCTTTTTGTTCGAAGCATGCTCCTGCTACGAACTTCCTTCTTTGTCAGACTTGCAACAATATCTCTCTGGCTCTCTAGCAAGCAGTCGATGCCATCCGGAACAATTGAGTTGGCAAACATTGGTGAGGTGAACTTGTTATCACCAAACCTTGGCCTATAAGTTGGCACAAATCCGAAGCTGTAGCGGTCTTTCACAGAGATGGAACCACAAGTAATCAGGTGGATGAGCATATTTGTGGCTTTCGATTTTGGCCCAGTCGGGAGGAAGACATCCTCGGCCTCCATATTCCTTAAGTTGTTCCTTTTATTTGCTTCTTCTCTTATCAAGGATTCCAGGGTATTCGTCTTTCCACAAGAAGAAGAGGGAACACTTGCAAATGTTGGTGGTGGTGGTGAACTCTCTACTTTAACGATCTCAGGCTCTTGATTCAAACACATCGTCTGTTCATTTTGGCTCTCACTGTGCTGAATTTCTGGAAGCCTAATCCTGGTGTTTGATCCCTCTTTCCTCCTTTTCTCTTCATTATCGGTTTGAGTCGAAGCATCCTGAGCTTGAAAGGGCTTGCAGATCCTGTAGTCTGATGGCTTTGGGGAGACCGTGACCAACGATGGGCCAGTTCTACCGCCAGGCTCTGGCGAGAAGTTCTTGGAGGAGCCAGATCCACGAGTCGAGGGTGATAGCTCATCTTCTTGTATAGAAGGAGGTGGTGGTTGTATCGGCGATGGTGTGGGAAGCTTTGCTTCATTAATTACAACCGCTTTCGAAGATGAAGAACAGGAAGCTTCTTGTCCTTTATAACAAATTGGCGTCTCTTGTGGACGATGTTTCGGATTCTGAGTCTTTACATTGCTCACACTGTGATTGTCCCGATCTAGATCAAGCAAAAGTATCATTAAATGGGAAAACAGCATTCTTAATTTTCTCATTCATGCAATTGACAATGTACCTGGAGGGGTTTGATCCAGGAGCTCCGAACCCTTGAGCACATACTCGGTGCCCTGTACCGGCAGGATCAAATCGTCCCCGGAAAGATCCTGCCACACGAATCCATTCTTGTAACTCCTGCACCACCAAAGCATCAGTCGACCAACAAGCTCAAATCTAGGGTTCTTACAATCCCAAATTCTGCACACTCGTTTACCTCTTGCAAGACCAGGAATACATGGCCGCCATCCCCTTCCCTCGCTGCACATTGAGCCTGTCGACCACATCTACAAGCACACAACAAACCAAACAACGTCGATAAAAAGAAGAAGGCTTTTTTTCCCCACTCAAAATCAATCCTTTTCTACCTCTGAGGTAGAGCCCCTCGGGGGAGCAGAGCGGGACCTCGATGGAGTGCGGTTGGTCGAGGTGGCGATTCCTGCAGAGGTAATACACTACCGGAACCTTTCTCCCTTGCTGCTGCCAATGGTGGTGCTTCGGAGGCGGTTCAGCCCACACCTTGGTTCTCTCGGGGCTAATTGCCCGCGCATATCTCCTCATCCTCTTCTCCTTAGATTTCGCGTCTCGGCAGTAGAAAGAGAGAGAGGGGGAGAGAGAGGAGGTTCAGATCATCATGCGGAGGCGTTGGGCGGCATTTAATGGAGCTGTGGAGACGTCAGGGAATTCCGTGCGATTTGGTCGAGCAAAGCGGCCATCAAGAAGACGCAGACGAAGACGCAGACGAGGACGAAGAAGAAATGTGGCTCAACCACTTTGGAGATCGAGCGGACAGCAACTAAATTTCTATTTTGTTTGGTAGAACCAAGTGGATCGTACTGCTGTCGACGTGAGCAGCGGAGGTGGTGGTGGGGGCGGCAGTGGAATCGCCATCTACCCAGTTGCGTAATTACCTACAGGACCAGCCTCTAATTACGTAATTACCTCACATAATTAATTATTTTTAAAAAAATTATATTAAAATTTTTATATTTATAAAAAATAAAATATTTAATTATATTATTCTAATTTTTTATTTTAAATCTTATAAAATTATTTTTTTAATCTCAATATTTTACTTTTATAAAATATAAATATCAAAATATTAAAATTAATTAATTATAAAAAAGAATATATAATTATTAAACTTTTATTTAAAGACTAAAAAGTTTATAATACTATATAAAGCCACGAGATGGTTATCGTAATCGAGTCACATGTTATCGAATCGTTTATTTAGTGAACCGATAGATCAATGTAAGTTTCAATCAAATTCGATATCGATCATAATAACGAAAAAGAACTTGGAACGATTTAATAAGTGAATTGAATCCATCAATAGAGAACACACAAATTACATGAAAAATATAGCATAATATCATTTATCAACTTTTGCTGTGTGTTGACCGAAGAGGAAAGAAACTTCTTATCTTTATTACTATGGATAGAAAGGTTCAGAAGGACTTTTGCATGTTTGCTCAAAACAATCATAAAAAGATAAAAAAAGAAGGTGAGAGAAGACACACACAAGTGATACAGCTTTTGTATAATAGTTCTCAACTGTTCCTCATTTAATGACAAAGCTTATTCTTTTCTTTAGATTAATAATGACATCTTTTTGCTTTGAAAAACAGGCTTTTGGCAGCCAATCCGGTATTTATGCTAACTTTTTCTCTTACCAATGTCATTAGTGGAAGCTAAAACTTTAATTTTTGTTGTGTATATATATATGAAACTAAGACAAGACACTAAAAATCTGTGGCAGATATAGCAATTCGGGTACCACAATGGCTCCTCAAGCAAGTTATCATTTCCAACTCTAAGGTATGTTTTCCTCAAGAGAGAGAGAAGTGGGTGGTGTTTCACTTGGCTGTAGTGAGAGCAAAGGTTACACAGTGCAGCTGGCTCATAGATGCTTTAGAGCACCACTATGGCACCTCATGTCTTCTCAAGACAATCTATAATGGATCTTCTTTTGGAGTTAAAGCTTAATCATGGAGCTGGAGGAGTACACTGGATGCCTCATTTTGCCATGCTTTTTCTGAACAAAGATAAAAAAAGAGAAATTCCAATTGCTCTGCAGATCATAAAGTAAGAATAACTCATCAACATTTGATGTTGACTTGGAAGAGACAAACTGCTACTACAAAGTCTTTTTTTCTTCTTCTTCTTCTTCTTTTTGGGTTGAAAACTATTACCTATTCACAGACTCTAAGCATTACACTTCTTTTTTACTTTTAGGTTTATGGTTACTTTCTGGAATAATGACTGACAAGGTTCACAGGCTGCTCAGCTTCCAGTGTCAACTCTGCTCCTCCTGTGAAGGAAGATTCAGCTTCAGCTGCTGCCTAAAGACTTCAGACTTCATGCAAAAGCACTGGATTTGTCTGCAACTGCACACCATTGTCATGTGGGACATCAGAATCAGCTGCAGAGATCAAACAAGACTAATTTATGAGCTAGAGATGGCTCCTACCTAAACTTCTCTTTTTTCTTTTTCTGATGAAGAATCATGCCAAAGGTCTTTAAATCCCAAGCATTTGTTGGTAGGCTGGGGTTGGTGTGATAGCTACATCAAGGTTAAAGGCCATTCACCATGAGTTATTTTTCAGCAGCAATCAAGTGTAATAGTTGCAGTGCAAAAGGATTATTGATTCATTAACTCTGTTGTGCTTCCACTGTTAGCCTAAAATGCTTTAATCTCAAACTAATAATATTACAATCAAGTCTTTATAAACCAATTCAACTCTTTATCCACTTAAATACTCCAGCTTATCTATTGAACAACAGGTAAAAAATACTTTTGATCTTAAATTGTCACAGGTTTTCTTTGCTTAGATTTAAGTTGAGAGAATATATCATAACATTGTAGGACAGTCTCTGAACCATATCATATTGGCCTGGCCATGTTTTGTGTCATTAAAGTGATCTTGTCCCTAGCATTTGGCATGCATCTAATCACACAATTGTTGGTCTAAACTTCACCAAACAATAATTGATCTACAATGAAAGATGTACTTTCTCTTCATGAGACAATCGGTTGTCCACCTCCTCCTCCTCCTCCTTCTTTCTGTGATTGTGTCTTTTAAGTAGGCAAGAAATAGGCAAAACTATATTTTCTTTGATCAATATTAGTTCATTACCATTTCATCACACAATTAATTGTTATGCCCTAATATTTCTTTATCGAAACCAACTCCATTTATACAAGTGGAAAGGATTATAATTAATATCTTAAACTTAAGTATTTTGGATTGAATCGTCACAAATTCTTTATCACAAGTCTAACATAGCCAAAATGTTAAATTTCATGTTTCTACAGTAGAATAATTGTTTTAAGCTATTCTTAATTAATAATTCATTTAAAAAACTTGGTTTTCGAAGAAAAAAAAAATATTTTTGGTCGAAAAATGAAATGATCTTTCTTTCTTTTTTTTTCTTTTTTTTTACCATCATCACCTATCACCTTTTGTAGTTGGAATGTGATTCACAACACTAATAATTGATCACTAAGTGTGCTTATTCCCATATTTTTTTGAAGTATAGATTAGCATTTTGTTGCCATTGGTATAATCAAATGTGATCACAATAATGGTTAATCTTGACCGTCAATTATCATCATCACCACAACCATTTTTAAAATTTTCTTTTCCACTATAAAAAATAATATACATCTTTATAATGCAATTTTTAATTTATTTTTAGAATTCGAAATCTATTTCGGAGGAGATGAGCATATGATCATCATGATTCGAAATTAAATATTAAATATTAATAATAATAATAATAAAATTATGAACCGGTCTGAAATTGGAACTGATCCGACCGTTCGAGACCGGTCCGGTTTCAGAACCGGAGTCCGGCCCGGACGAGCCAACCTCAATGTAACAGATGGCAGAAGCAGGAGGCTGTGCGGCTCCAGCGGTGGTTGGTGAGGAAGAGGGGCGGTACAAACTTGGTCTTGTATCTCTCACACACACGCAGTGCCTTATCTGTACGCCGCTCCCTCGGTGTCGCGTCGTTGGGCTTCGGTCGATGCAAGCGATACTCGCCGCAGCCATGGCCGCCCACACCGTCCTGCTTTCCGCATCCTCCCCCGCCTTCGTCTTCCCCGGCTTCTCCTCGGCTTCCCCTGCGCGCCCTTTCCACTCCGCCATCGTCGGGCAGCCCCTCCGCCCCGCCTCTTCCACCGCCAAGCTCGTCTCCACCGCCGCCAAGGCGAAGCCCCTCGTCGTCGTCGCCGCCGCCAAGAAGGCCGTCGCCGTCCTCAAGGGCAACTCCAGCGTCGAGGGCGTCGTCACCCTCGTCCAGGAAGACAATGGTCTGCTGCTCCTCTGGCTTTCTGTTCCTCTCTACCCCTTTCTTTTAGGGATTTTTTGGGGTTCTATGATAGTGCGCCTCTATATCTTGAAAGGACCAGCCCTGATTTTGATAGATTCTTAGCTCTAGTAAGAAATGGAGCTACTTTTAGAAGAAAATATGAGATCGACCTTTGGTTGAGCAAGACTGGCCTTTCATGTGCCTAATTTGGTGGAGTAGATTGCATTTGTTTTGAGTTCCTCCCATCTGGGATGAACAAATCAATTTCTTGGGGGGACAAAGGCTGAAAAATTATTGTTTGGCACCTCATTACCTTTTGGTACTCATCAAGAAAAAAGGTTTCGATTGGACGATTTGCATCTTCCTAGGTTTATGGCCAATTGATTGAAGCAAATGTTAATGTACATTCCATTGAGAAGGCAGAACAAAGTTTATTTGTGGATGTATCACACTGGTGACCCAGAATACAGTCTAGCTACATAACATAAAGTTAATTTAGTAACACCAAAAATTGCTATGTCAGCCAAGTCGAAATCCTAGTGGCTATGGTGCACTTATGCAATCATGAGGTTCATGTAAATCTAGTGATATACCATTGAGCCATAATTTAATCTATTGCACTTGTTCGCACTCTTCATGGACAGAAACACTAAGCAATTGATCTGCTCTTTAACGGCTTCATCAATGTAACAAATTTTCTTATGTAGTTCTCTCAATCACCTGTATTGGTTCATGTAAATCTAGCGACATATCTTTAAAACATAAATTGCATGGGTCAGGTAAAGAAAAGGATTTAGTTTTTCATCTGCTTTTTAATGCCTTTGTCAATTTTAAAGGTCAATGATTGTTAATCTTAAACAGATATTACAATTCTCTCTCTTGGTTTAATTATATCATTCTTTCCTTTGACTTCCTAACTTCCCAAATAATTCTGTTATAGGTCCTACAACAGTGAAAGTTCGTGTTACTGGACTCACACCTGGACTTCATGGTTTCCATCTAGTGAGGGCTATGTATATGACAATGTTCTATTTCTTTCCCTCAAAGTAAATGGATAACTTATAAATGATCCACTTGTTTTTTTCTGCAGCACGAGTTTGGTGACACAACAAATGGTTGCATATCGACAGGTTTAACATAGCCACTTGCACTTAATTTCTTTTTTTATCATCTACATTTTAGGATCTCTTTTGTTATTGTACTTTGTTGATTCCATGAATTAATCTGTGATTCTCGTATGGTTGAATAGTTTCATATACTTCATGTTATGGTTTCTAATGCTTGGATAAGATTGCTATCATAAACTCCTGGTTGACCAGGATTTCGTTGCACATTTTCTGTCATCTCATGTATTGTCATTGTTGCTGACCAAAAATCTGTTCTAACAGGGGCTCACTTCAACCCTAATAAAATGACACATGGTGCTCCTAAAGATGAAATCCGTCATGCGGGTGACCTGGGAAACATAGTTGCTAACGTTGATGGTAGATTTTAGATTTTAGTCCATCCTTCATTAAATGTGCTTCATTCACTATCTTTATTCTGATTGAGTTGTATCTTTTGTGCACCTTGCTTTTGAAAATGCAGGAGTAGCTGAGGCAACAATAGTGGACAACCAGGTATATATTGTGGATTTGATAATAAGCCCATTGGGCCTTAGTGGTGTGTGCTACAGACTGAATATTGGTTAACATATCTAGACCCAATGGGCTAGCAATTTCCATTACTCAGTATCACTGCAGTCCCTTATTTTACTTTTTTCTCACCCAAATTTCTTTTGGCCCCGATCTACCTGCTAGCTTTTAGCATTCTTATTTTTGTTTCTATTTTGATGAATATGTAGATACCATTGTATGGGCCAAATTCTGTCGTTGGCAGGGCCTTTGTGGTTCATGAACTGGAGGATGATCTAGGAAAAGGTAACATGCAGTATTTGTTCCTTTCGCTGGTCTCTTGAAATAAATTGCCTAGTTATTTTCTGGAAGTATAAATATTTTTTTTCCATCTATGCGATATTTCTCTTCTGTCAATTCTTTGGACTAAGTTTCACATTTCTCTCTTTTGGTTGCTCCTAGGCGGTCATGAACTCAGCCTTACCACTGGAAATGCTGGAGGAAGATTGGCATGCGGTATGCAATATATACTTCATAAGTTCTTGTGTTGTTATTTGTTTTAGTTTCTTTTCCTGACAGACAGCTATATTATCCCATGTAACATTTCTAGTTGTTATTGTAAACAACTAAAGAAGAATGTAGTATTAGTTATAGATAGCAGGGTAGGTGTTGTTGAAACATTCAAATAAATGGAGTGTGGTCCAATACCATGATTCTGGAACTTCTCTAATTATATAAGATGCAAAAGATTTAATGTATGTTTAGTGTAAGTATAATTATGCTATGGTATATTTAGGTTGCTTGTAAGTAAATCCTTATTAAAAAAAAAAGTCCCTTTATAACCTTTAAGTGTAGTGTAAAATACGCACAAGACAGAGAGAACATGAGACTAATGTGACAGATAGGTTACATAATTTGTCTTATTTGAGAGTTATAAAGAAACAACATGATCTCCCATTAGCCACACGCACCATATGTTTTTGTTTTTTTTGTTTTTTTCTTTTTTTGAAAGGAAACTGTAACTCTATGTATTCAAATACTGTGCACCATGTGTTTTTGTTGTTGACATATGACTAATGGTACCAATTTAAATTGATGCTATCTGTATTTTATGAATTTGTTCCATGCAAGAACATTTCTGCAGGAGACTGCATTTATAGAAGAATGAAAAATGATTTTCATTGGCATAGGTATTAATAATTATGTTCATTATTCAATATGAGATGGTAAAATACCTTGTTTTATAGCTTGCTTAATTTCTTTTTTATAGAATTCAGAAAGTCAAGCTGTAATTACTACTATATAGACCATTCTAGGATTGAGCAACAAAGAACCACCTAGGAAGCTTTTTTTTTTATTATTATGACCGTAGTGTCACAAAGCTAATCCTGATATAAGAAATAATTTAACATGGAATAGAATATCTAAAAAGACTGATAGTTGTGTAAGATATTAATTACACTATGGGATTACAAAAGAAAGTGAGGAGTGGGAACAGTGAAAAATAATATATCTGTAAGGGCACAGTTAGAAGAAATTTGATTTTGCTAATATGTGAAATGGTAACATTTGGCCTATTTGTAAATGGGCTGTTCTTTGTTGAAGGTCCAAGACTTTGTTTACTTTGTACAAACCTAATTTAGGAAGGAAACAACAGAAAGAGAGGGTAGGGTGGGACCTCTGTCCTGTGTATCATGTGGTCCTCTGGTTTTTTTCTCTTCTTCTTCAACTCTATCCTGGAACATTTTCACATATTTTGTCAAACATATTACTAATCCCTAGCCTATGTGTAGAGAGAGAGAGAGAGAGGTCAGCATTTCATACTCATATTGTTGTAGATATCTAATGCAAATTTTGGCAAACACTGTTTGAAGATTTTCCTCTTTAAAATTTACACAAATATTTTTCTAAAATCATTGTTCTACTTGCACAGGTGTCGTTGGTTTGACTCCGGTTGAGTAATTGCTTTATAATTCTACAAGCTGCTTCTTTCACAGACAGTGAATTTTGTTTTGGAGTCAAATGTGTCTGTTGAAGCTTGTTCATTTAGACATTGTATCTTGTTTTCAAGTCAAATGTCAGTTGAAGTTTCAACATTTTCGGGCATGTAGACAGGTATATCTTTATTTGTCTTAAGATGCCACCTAATAAGCTTGTTGTCAGGACACCGAAGATAATCTTAGTGTTCTAAATAAACTGGAGACTGCATATTGAGTTGCAGTCTCCTTCCCATGGTGCAAAATTGTTTCTATGGTTAATGCCATTTTTGTGCAGCTTTTTAGCCATCACTGAGTAGAGTGATGCGCAAAATCAGGTTGGTTTTCTTGTTTATTTTCCACTTGTGTGAGAGTGTTTGCATATGAGTGCCACATTTTTCTTTAAGCCTTCATCCTTTTTCATGATCATGTTATTTCAGCATGGATCATGTTTATGTGTTCTATAGCTTCTTCATATAAAGATAGGTGTAGAAAAAGAAATGTGGAACAAAATATGAGGAAAAATACCACCAGAAATTGATTCCATTGTGATTGCTTACCAGATTAGGAGACTTCACCAGAGATCAAATACTCCAAATGTGCTCCATCATCACATGCACAGTTTCTGAAGAGGGATCTCCCATTGCTCACAAGAGGATATAATTCTGTGTGCATCAACAACCTAACTTGTTAGGGTTTTCAGATTTAGATGTTATCTTACAACAATTCTCAGTACTGTTTGCAAGGTCAAGATCACAGAACAGAGGCACTCTGAAGTTGGGGGTAGCTTCAAAACAAAAGAACAAAAACAAAAATTGTTTCTGGCCTTACAACATGATCACAAAAAGACCCTAAAATGTTACTGAATATTGATTGATTTCATTCAATAATCAATCAGCAACTTGATTACCTTCCCTAAAGAATGACTAGAAAAGGATTCCACAAACTTAGTCTGAAGGGGCAAACAATCATGAAGAGGTCAAATTGGCCTTCTCCCTTGACCTAATCTTAGAGCTTATCTGTTAACACAACACCCATCCATTTCCTTGTGAGACCAAACCTCTGTAACTGTGTTGATATCAACATTGCCCACTCTAATCCCATCACCACCATTACACCTTCTAAAGGAACACAGCCTTATTCTAGCTTCCAACTACTGGACAAGAGGAACACACACACACACACACACACACAGTCTGACCAAATTATGTAGCTATTCAAGATACATTGAATAATGCTTTAAAGCCGTCACTTTGGCATCGGAAGATATTCTCATCACTGGAGTTAATTAGCTGCCTGAGAACTCTGTTCATAAAGAAGGCCATGGAAGGCATAAGCAATCAATGCAGCAGTGGATGAGTTATGATCGGAGAAGGTAACCTCCCCTCCCCCATGTGACGATGCCAAACGCCTCCTCCTCCTCCTCCTCCTCCACGGCCGTCTCGCCCAAAGTCTTCGTGCGCCTTCTTCCTAACGTGCAGTGCTTCTGTTTCAGGGAGTAAGATTCAATGAGGCATGGAAATAGTGACTGAGATGGCTGCTATTTGAGTGTGACATGCAAGTGGCTATTAGGGTTTTGGCACTTTGGCTCCTTCTCCTCCCTAACATGTAGTGTTGACGATGATGTGGTGCGATATGGATGGAGCAGATAAGCATAAGCCTGCAGTTCCATCTAGTCCAAGTGTGTGCTTGTTCTTTGGCCAGAGTAGGAGTTACCTACTTGCCTCTCCCTCGACTCTCCCTTTTATTCCTTTGGCATTTAATAGCAGGGGAAGTTGGCTTGCAGACAAATCAAACTCATGAGATGAGAACCTGATCCATAGCTTTTCCTTTGTGGTGGAGAAACCTAAAGCCAACATCCTTCTTGCTGTTTCTTTTCGTTGCTTGTGCGCAAGTGCAGCTTGGCACGAGTGGAGGAAGACGAGGAGGAAAGCAACAGGAATCGTGTAACACATGAGCATATGATTGATTGCCTTTCCCTCGCAGCATCAACGACGTGAAGTAGAAGAATCCAAAGAATCGATTAAAATGTTGAAGTAATTTGATTCACATGATGTTCATAATTCCAATTTTCTATGACCGATTAAAACAAATACAGAATGAAGGAGGAGAGATTTTGAGGTGTTTTCTTTCGTGTGCTGAATGATGGCTTAGTAATGGCAATCCACCAAAGCCGATGCCGAGAATACAAGCGGCTGCTGGAGCTCGAAGGGGAAGGGCATGGCGGACGAGGTGGGCCGTGGCGGCTCCTCGCGGTCGTCGTCTGGTGGTGCGGGGAGGTTAAGATCCAGCGAGAGGACGTGCTTCTCCTTCTTCGCTTCCGGTGGCTCCGCGGGCGTTATCGGACGGTGACGCCGCATGTGGCCGCCGAGGGCCTGCCCGGACGGGAACTCCGACCCGCATATCGAGCACTCGTGCACCCTCGGCTTGTTGCTGCCCGCAGCGGCGCCGGTGTTGGTGGCGCTCGGCGTCGGAGCCGGCTTTGAGGTCGAGGAACTCGTGCTGATCTGCACACGATCCTCGTCTGCCTTTGGCTTCTTGTGGCTCGTGCGATGCCCGCCGAGAGCCTGGAAGGAAGGGAAGCATTTGTTGCAGGTCTTGCACTGGTAGACATCGGGCGCGGCCTTCCCGGTGGTCGCCATGGCGGTTTCCTCCGCTGCTGCTTGGGTCCCTGGTGGATCGGCATCCAAGGCACGACCCCGAGAGAGGAGGATGAGGCAATTGGCCATGTCCTCCTCTTCCTCGGTGGTGCTGCTGGAGAGCTCGGCCGACGAGATCGACGAGGCCGGGGCGGCCGCGGCTGGCCTCTGCCGCTTCGTCCTCTTGCCTTTGACGACCGGGGAGGCGGTGGTGAACTGGTCACTGTTGCTGCTGCGGTTGCCGTAATCCATCGCTTCCTCGGCCAAATCCGTGTTGCTCTTCTTCTCTTCTGAAGACATTGGAGAGAGTAGAAAGAGACAAAGAGTCGAGAATCGATACGGTGAATGTGCAATGGAGTCTTCTATATAGAGAGGATGGATGAGCAGAGTCAAAAGCAGCCGATTTAGCCACCGTGAACAGTAACGGTGAACGAGTCTCAGCTGTCCTTCCGTTTCCAAGCTCACTTGCTCACGCACAAAGGCTTAAATATAGGCACAAGAGAAACGCTAGAGAGAGAGAGAGAGAGAGAGAGAGAGAGAGTAGGGAAAGCAAGGAATAGTTTGGGGAAGGGGGGAAGTGGGTGACAATTGGAGAGAGAAGAAGGGAGAGCTGACGCTAAAGATAAAGGAGATGGACTGTGTCTTGAAACAGTGAACACTTGACACTTAGCTAACATTTGCTGAGAGGAAGAAGACTTGTAACCTAATAAACTACATGTGGAGAGGCTCATCAATATGCCAATGTGGACCACACTCTGCCTCCTCCACAAGTCTTTAAGGACATAAAGGAATATTATTGGAGTGAACAATAATGTTTTTTCTTCTTTTTTTTTGGGGAGAGAGAGAGAGAGAGAGAGAGAGAGAGAGAGAGAGAGAGAGAGAGAGAGAGAGAGAGAGAGATTCTGTCAGCTTTGAAGTAAACATCCAATCCTTTTTGACAAGGATTCTTGATGATAGTTCTTGTTATTATGTGAATTGTGATGTGCTAATTCTAATAAATATTTATTTTAGGATGCTGAGCATTTAATCAATATCAATTGTTGAGAATATGGATTGAATAACAAAGAGAGAGAGAGAGAGAGAGAGAGAGAGAGAGAGAGAGAAGTCAATTATATGATTTAATATTTTCATAGAATTAAGCATTATATTATATTCAAATATTGTTATCCAAATTAAACTCAAACTTTTATAGCAACATTAAGCCTCCTATACAATTTTTGTTGAGAGAAGTCAATTTCTCAACAAGAAATACACAGATTAATTTTCAGCTACTAGTAGTATTACAGCAATCATGTTTGGGACTGAGAAAAGAGGTGGTGGTGGTGTGAGCAAACATTCACTGGTCTCTCTCTCTCTCTCTCTCTCTCTCACTCTCAATCTCTAGTCTTTGTGTTTCCACACTGAAGGAAGAAAAAGAAAGAGAGGTGAACCAATGCACTTAGTTAAGTAATGAGGAGCAATTGACTTGAGGTTATTGAAGCCTCTACACATTCCACATGTTTGGATATAGTAAGCCTGAACTGAGATGATGCTGGGGATGGAGTTTGGGTGGTGGGTGAGCTTTGGGATTACTAAATTGTGGAGGACAAGTAAACGAGAAGGGGTGGGAGATGAGTGGATTCAGGTGGACAGATTCTTGGCGTGACGAAGTTGCTTCTTCTTTTGGTTGGTTGTGTGAGGCACGAAAGGGAGAAGGAGAGGCAGCTTCTCATCGGTCTCATGCTATGAGATGGTGGTTGTGGAAGCAAGGCATATGGGGTTGGTGGGAGATGGCTTCTTCCCTCCCTCCCTCCCCCTCTCTCCTTCCTTCCTCACTTCTCCTGCAACCCAAACCAAGAATAACTTCCCCAAGTTGACCTAATATATGCCATTTCATGAGACTGAAGGATGGCTTTCTGTGCATGTAAAGGAGCAGTGAGAGCATCATCATCTGTCATTGCCACCCTCATAAGAACAACTCACCAGAGAGAGAGAGAGAGAGAGAGAGTGTGTGCCGAAGAGGACGGCAATCTCTTGTAGAATAATACCAATTTGGCACCACATCTCACGACACACGAAGAGAGAGAGAGAGAGAGGAGTAATAAGCTTGTGAAGGTATAAGAGTATGAGAAGGCCATCGATCACTTCCACTACCCAAAATGATGAAACAAAATCAAATAAGGTTATGGAATTGTTTTTTATGGGGATTAAATCAATATTTATTGAAAATATGAGAGAAGATGAATTTAAAACAAAATTGTATGTTGTAAAGGATTGAAATTGATGTATGTATATTAAACATGATCGATTTGTTTTTGACTAATCATCAATACAGTTATAATATGGTATCAAAGTAAAATACATATAAATTTTGATCTAAATAATTGATGTGTTTGAGATAAAAAAAAGTAGTGTAAAAGGAATATATCGTAAATGATTGACGAAGTCGGATGATAGACTTAAGTTTTTAGATTGAATTATTATCATCTTTATGTATATTAATCTCGACTAGTTTCTATCAAAGGTGAACTCAATGTAATCACTCAATTTAAAATACTAAAGTTATAAGTTGAAATCTTATACCCATTTTTTTGTTCTATATTTCAAGCTATTTTTTATGCTTCATTATAACTGTTGAATTTTTACCACTGTTAATTGAAACCTTAAAAGCTTGAGCTCCAAGTTGTATTTCATTAATAACTGGAAAGAAAGAAAGCTCAAGAACAGGAGCTTTGGGAGCTGAAGTTGGAATTGATAGGTGCTGTTGTGACAGTGGCAACCTTCAACAGATGAACCCATAGCCATGCTTCTTTCTGCAACTTTAGGTGGACTCTCCCTCCAAAATATGTGTGTGTGTGTGTGGAAATGTGGAAGGAGACAACAAAGAAAAGTTGTAGCTAAGTAGTTTGTCTTTCATTTCTGGGAAAGAGATGATTAGTCTTAGGAAGAAGTGTAACACTTTGACAAGGAGGATGATAAATCTTCTTATTATTTTTCTAATAATTGTTTACTTAGGTAAAGAGAAAAAAGAAAGAGAGAAAGAAATTTTCATAAGCAGTCACATCATTTTTTTTTTCTTTCTCTATTTCATGCTAAATTTTGTGAAGTCAGCCAAAGATTTATATCACTATCATAACACTTTTTCTATTTCTTCTCTTCATTCAAACATTAGTAGGTGGAGGATGGTGTCAATCCTATTGTCTCAAAATCAATCAAACTAGATAATGATTTCACTAAACATGACTTGTGACCCTCAAAATAGTAATCAACCAAAGTTTCATGCTATGTGGAAATAGGAAAGGCAAAAGGATGGGATAGAGACTCTTTTAAGGTAGACACCAAACTCATCACATCTTCTTGCTCAAGTTGGTCAAACCTAATCCAATTAGACTTGCTCAAATCAGTGCAACTTGAGTCAGAGTTGAAATTATCATCCAAGCCTATTGGGCTTGTCTCCATGTCTAATGAAATCTAAATATTGAGTCATATACAAATTGACCTATTAACAAAGGCCATGGCCTTTGTTGATTAGCCCTATTAGAGATTAAGACAAGATATGCCATTAACAGGCCATAACCTTTGTTAACTAAGGCCTATTGGAAATAATGATATAAGGAAAAAAAAAAAAAAAGGTACCATTGAATAATGTTAAAGTGCCGACGAGAAATTATCCATTTTAGATAGATCCGTATAATTTTATCCTTTTTAGGTGAGCTTCAAAAAATGATTCATGCTTCAATAGAAAGCAATACTAATAAATGTTTACTTCTTGTTTACTCATTTTTTTCTATATATTTTATTTTTATTTTTATTACAAATAAAATTAAAGGACGGGTTTTAATATAATGATAAGGTTGCTCTTTTCATTTGATTTATGAAAATAATCTTCATAAATATTTAAAAATAATATATATATATATATATATATATATATATATTGATGGGAGCCTCTCGTAGAGCTGTCATAGACTTTCCAACTTGGAATCCAACATGCCTATCCACTTCTTGTCGTGGTGAACAGACAAGCGAATGGATTTCCACAAACACATACACCATCGTGCGCATGTCATGCCTTCATGTAGATTCCCGTTGCCTCCCACTACATCGCTTTTGATAAGGGGCATCATAAAGGGAGGCTTTCTCCTCCCTCACGCTCGGATCGAGCTGGACGCATGCATGCGTGCGTTCTGCCATGTACGAACGGCGGACTGCGGCCTCCGCGCGGCTCGGCCCCTCCTCCACACCACAAAGTGCAAGCGGCCAGAAGAAGAAGAACTTTTTCTTCTGGGTGGGGGGGAGGAAACAGACGAAGAAGGTCGGCTGCTTAGCTTCCCAAAGTCTGGCAATGGAAACTCGAAAGTGGCGAGGGCCTACAGCTACAAGAAGCTTTGTTAAAGCGCCATGGCTTTATATCCTCTCAGTCCCGCAAGGCCACATCTTCTCTGGAACACAGCTGTTGGATACTCTTCTCCGGAGCTGGAGCAACGAAGCTGTCTCTCCTCCATCATCATCTCTCTCTCTCTCTCTCTCTCCAATCACTGCCTCACCATTGGCACTCAACTTTTGAGATGAACTTGCAACCATAATGGATTCATTGATCACATGAGCTGCACGCTCTCTAAAAGTAGGTGCTTTGTCATGGTTGCATTTCCACAAACACCTTTCGAGCTTTGTTTTGGCACATGACCTGAGAACACTCTTTCATGTCTACAGTTCCTTCCTCGAGGTTATTCCACTAAACATGCATCTCGGAGATCCTAGCACGACTTTTAAAGCCTGATTGACGCCTAGGGTTACGTCTTCCGTGCCTAACTCGATTTGACTAAACAAGTATATTAGCGTCTAATGACTCCCCTAACGTCAGTTGCGATCCCCGCGCCTGCCCCCCCCCGCATCTTCGTCACCCATCGCCCCACCCGACCCCCTCCTCTCCGCTGGCAGGCAATCATCCATCTTCATTTCCATGGGCCCCACGCATCATGTCACACGTGTCGATACACGAATCCGGCTTTTTCCGGTGGACCCCGCGTCGGGCACACGAATGGGTAACAGCGAAAGTTCCGAGGCGAAAAGTGGGATAAAAAGAAGAGGAGTTTCCCAAACACGGAATAATTAACGGAATCGAGTCCTCGACCCACACGTGACGCATACTCGTTAATTTTCCTTTACTACCCCCATCTTTTCATTTATTTACACTATGACACTCATCGGCATCTCGACCGGTCGTTGCTTGTGATTCGGCGTTTCAACGGTCGAGATGCATTTAAGATGCCTCTATAACCATTACAGCGGTTAATAGGTAAAGTGGTAAATTTGTGCCCGACTTAACGCCTTTGTTTAGTAGCGTGTTTGACCGTCTCTTCTCAGTTCTCACACCCTCTTCGAAGGAATTTTAAGATTCTTCTTCAAATGGTTCTTCGCTATTTATCCATCATTTTACCCCCCGCCTGCTCCTCCAACTCCTCCTCCTCTCTCTCTAACACCGATCCCTTCCGTGGGCGAATCGGGCCGCGAATTATGGGAATTTCTCCCGGTGTTTAGGTGATTTTGGTTGGGGATTTTGGTATTTGTAGTGCCCAGTTCTCGTTCTCCAACGGGATTGAGCTGTCCTCGTCGAATTCGATCCGCGATTGGCGAAATTTTGGGGAGCTGGGGAGGTTTTTGGGGCGTTTTTCCTCTTTCGGATTGAGGAAGAGGTAGAGATGAGCGGAGCTAATAATAGCGTGGAGACGGTGAATGCGGCGGCGGCCGCGATTGTCTCTGCAGAGAGTCGAGTCCAGCAAGTTACCGTTCCGGTTGGTTATCATCTGCTTTTGCATTTTGTTCTTGCGATCTATGTTCTTGATATGGCTGTTAGTGTTACCTTTTAGCTTTGATTAGTTCAGATCTCTGACGGTTATATGCTGCTGTGAATCTTTTATATTTTAGTGATTTTATTTAATATTTGGTAGGATTACTGGTAATGATCTCATTGTTTTGAGTTTTAATAGTGCTTAATTTTAGGATTTTAAAGGTCAATTTTAATTCTACGAGCTAGATGATAACTGCGTATTAGATGTAGGTTTGTACTTTCAAGATTTCGTTTAATTTCATGGGAAGATATTAGTGGTTTAAAGTTCGTGATCATGCATGGTTCCATACAATATTTCTTCCACTTTTTTATGATGTTGATATCATTCGATTGGTACTTTCCAATCTTGGCCATTGTTATGAGCTTTAGGAACCATGGACCTGTGGAACACATGATGAACCCCATATAAGCTTCAGACTACAACTTAAGTCGTGTTGTACCGCAGGTAAAGTGTGGTGCAGATGACATATAGTATTAGTTTTCTTTTACTTTTTTTTTTTTTTGCTTGTGATGTATTAATTGTGTATATATGTTTTTGTGGTCGTATGTAATTACCTGCTTATTATTTGCCTCTTGTATGGTTGAGACATGAGATTGATTGATTGTCAAGCAACCGATTTAGTATATAAAGATCTATTTAACATTAACAAAATAAAAGTTGTACTTCTGCTTATTGCCTTTTTTCCTTATCTAGGACATGTCCTCTGGTCTTACATAAGTTTGTCTGGTGTTTGTCCATCTGGTAGTATCTATGTGCCTCGGCAGATGTGCATGACTTATTTCTTTGGATATGACAATAAGTAATTTAAGGGGTGCCTTAAGCTTATTAGTTGTACTAATTGACGTTCCTACTCGAGTTTTTCAGAAGAGTGATGTCTTTTATCTTGTCTGAGGACTGTATAAGCGGTGTCTTATTCGTTTAAAGTGATTTGAGCAATACTTAACTTCTTCACTTTTCGAGCTATTTTACAATACAAGGATTTTGGGGCTTATTTCATAAATAAAATTGAACACTTTGAGAAGATGGTGGGCCATGTCTTTGCTCTGCAAGTAACTGTTTCAGAGAACAACTTATCCTCGATGACAATTAAAAGTGAAGCTAAGAGTTGCATGTTCGTCCTTGATGACAATTGGTGAACTCAGATGAAACTGTCCTTTTCGGCAAAACCTGATGATGCCTGGTCTAGGTTATGGTAGGCTGACTGATGTGAAGTTGAGGTTTAGATTTGTCGTAATGAATAAAGTCTCTAACCATCCTTTGTCTTTAGAGTCTTAGTTGCAGAGAGAATCCAACTTTTGGTCAAATCTGGAATGGAGAGCTAATCAATTGGACAAAGAAAAGCTTTATACATGAATTGCTGGCATATATTGAACATATATAGTTTTAATGTTTATTGTTTCCTTTTATTTATATTCTCTTACTTTTGTTTGTTCTCTTTGCGTACTGCTAGTGTAAAAGCATGCACAAGTGCAGAGTCTCACAAGAATTTCTTTGGCATGCCTTTTGTGTACATATCATTGGCCATTGAAAGGCATGCGTACCAAAGGCATTCCTCTGCAATGTTATATTCTTTTGTTTAATTAATTTTTTTTACTAACTATCTATATGTTTACTAGTGACTGCCACTGGATCTGTATCATTTGTAATCACTCTAATTGTGGTCATTATTTGGTTCAAATATATTCTAGATGCACAACAACAAAACTGTGGCTTACTACCATCTTAAGTTTTGAACAACAATAAGATATAATTTATTAATAAAAAATTAAATAATAGTCTTTAAGAATTAAAAAGATAAATGCCAAATGTCATGTTCTCTTATTTCTTGGTGAAAATGGGCTATTTTTTGTCACATTTTTATTTGTCTAAGGGGACAAAAAGTTCAAGTTGTGGATTAAATTCTGAACAAGCAACTCCTGTTCTAATATAAGCAGTTGTTTTTTCCCCCAAAGTTCAATATTCAATGGTATCAAAGTCATAAATGTTACAGCTAAGAGTCTGATAAGGATATAAACAGCCGATTTTTTGTTCAAGTAAGTTGGGATCATGATCTCGATGAAATCCTACTCTATGAAGGGTTGTTCAGCTGGAGGAAAATAAAAAAACTAGTATCCACGAAATCTGATGAAAATAATCTTTTTTTAAAGGCTTGGACCCCATTTATTCTTTGTATTTATAACTATCTGTAAGTGGAATCAGTTGGCAGCAGAATACCACATATTTTAAGCCAAACTATTCCACTGGTTGATATGGGCCAACTATGGGTGTGATATCTTTGGGCAACAAGTTCGCCTTATCCATGTCAAAACCTTTCTACATGAACCTTCTTGTACCTACTTTGGCTGCTCCAGTGGCCACAAAGAACCAATAGAACTTATCATTGTTCAACTCAATATTCATTTGATAGCTGTTACTGCTTAAGTGCTTATTTATGTTGTTTGTAACTTGTTTTAATATTATTTTGATACCTAATGTAAGGGTATGGAAAGATATTCCTTGTGTTTTAATATACTTCTTACCAGTAAACATGATTGTTCCCCCCCTGGTGATCTCAGTGACATCACTTTCATCTGAGTTGATATGTTATGCTTCTCCAATGGCATAAAATGCAGAAATATTTTGGAGTCTCGTCTTTTCTCTTTTTTGGGTTTGTGTTTGGGGGTGTGTCAAAGCTCAAATTTTAGAGAAACTATACTGCAAATATTGGGCATATAAACTCCAATTCTTTCCAGGAAGAACATATGTGATATTCCTCTAGGAGGATGGAACAAAGAGTTAGCTTTACCACATTGTTGGCGAGGCCAATCGGTACATTGATTAGCATCCTTCGAAGTATGATTTGCACAAGGCTTAGAACCCAAACCCTCTTCGAGATGAAGAGGGGATCTAATCAGTAATCACTGAACTAGTTGGGGTATGGAAAGAGTTTTCTTGAAAATTTGATGTATAGATTCTGACCAGTCACATCCAACAGAATTGTAACCCAGAAACTTTTAAAGATGAGGAGGTCAAGGGAACCAACCACTGAACTAGTTGAACTACAAGGAAAGTCTGTGCATCCAATAAGTCCAAACCTGGCGAACTTCTTTTTATCCTCAGTGAGATTGGACTTCAGATTTAAAAGCCCATGACATTTTTGCCTCCTTTTTATTCATATAATATTCATGTTTATGTTTATGTTTTCTGACATCAGTCATTCTGAGCAACCTTGGCTCTGGTCATTTACTGAATGGGTTGGTGTGAATCCATCAATGGTCTTACAATATCTTAGTAGATGGTTTTTTTTTTTTTACTTGTCATGGAAGTAGCATGTAGTCTTTATACCTACATACCGTAAGTATGCTTATTTGTTATCTATGCATGGTAATTAATATGTGGCTCACGGTCTATGCTAGTAACAGCTTACCAGTTTGGATTTCACCCTCACTCAGTTTGTTCTTTTAACTGCCAGAGAAGAAGATGGACTGCCTGGTTAAGCGTGTACTGGTGCTTTGGGTCTCATAGGAATGGAAAGCGCATCGGCCATGCAGTCCTTGTACCTGAACCTGCATTTCCTATGTCGGATACCCCTGCAGTTCAAAATCCAAACCATCCACCAGAAGTGAGGCTTCCATTTGTTGCACCTCCTTCCTCTCCAGCTTCCTTTTTGCCATCCCCATCTACCATGCAATCACCAGCTGGTTCTCTTTCGCTCTCCGCACTTTCACCAAGTTCTTATTCTCCCAGTGGTCCAGCTTCCATCTTTGCGATTGGGCCCTATGCAAATGAGACTCAATTAGTTTCACCCCCTGTTTTTTCCACCTTCACAACTGAACCTTCCACTGCTCCTCTTACACCCCCACCAGAACCTTTGCATCTCACAACACCTTCATCTCCTGAGGTGCCATTTGCCAAATTGCTGACTTCTTCCCTTGACGCAAATTGCAAGAAGAGTGAGGCCTATGAGTTCCCATACTACCAGCTTCATCCTGGAAGCCCAATAGGTCGCCTCATATCGCCAAGTTCGGCATGTTCGGGTACATCTTCACCTTTCCCTGATCCTGAATACCATTCTGCTGTTGATGTCTCCTTCCAATCATTTCCTGTTTGTGAACCACCAAAAATCGTCAGTGCTGAAGAGATTGCCGCTCGAAAACTTTTACCCCAGCATGCTCGAAATGGTGGATCACTTTTGGATGGCCAAATATCAGCAGCTGCATCATTTGTGGACTCTGCTATCGTGCCTAAGAATAATGAACACATAATGGATCACAGAGTATCATTTGAATTAACTGCCGAAGAAGTTACACGCTGTTTGGAAAGGAAGGTAGCAATCTCAGGTGAAGGTAGCTCAGAAACATTGACTGCAAGAAATGACAGAGCTCTACCGACTAGTGAACCAGATAACAGTCAGAGTGTTGGCATTGATGATACCTACACCGACTTGCCTGAGCAAGTACAACCTTCTGTTACCCTCCCTTCAGTTAAAGAATTCAAATTCGATAATTCGGATGGGGTTCCTTCAGAGCATAGTGTTGGTTCAGACTGGTGGGCCAATGAGAAGGTCGCTGGTACAGCAACTGAGCATAGGAAGAATTGGGCTTTTATTCCAATGATACAGCCAGGAGTAAGCTGATCGACTATATATTTTGTTTCATGTCCCTAGGATCCTTGTCTCAAGCACAAGAGAGCCATGTTGGGATCAGAACCGTATGTGAATATATCTTTCCAGTGAAGGGGTATGTATTCGACTGCTAGACTTGTTACAGGAGGTCTATCTCATCTTGCATCAAACGGAAAGAAGAGAAGATTTTGATCTCTTGATATGAACTGTGTTATACTTTTAAGAATAGTATTGTTGCCTTCTTGCTGACTAATAATCAGAAACACCAGCCCTTGTAGCATCTCTCGTTGTTTGGAAGCATAGATGTTTTTCCAGAGCTTTGATGTATCTGGTGCTGATTTATCTACGGTTAGCTGTTTCCTTCCTTGGCAACATCTGCTGCTTGGATGTACATTCACATTTTGTCAGGTTCATTATCGTTTTGGACGTAATCTGGAGGAGAGGTGCCGATGACCCTGATCAACTCCTCTGCCAAACCAGAACTCTTTAAACAGGAGATGATCTCAGGTCAGCCCCTAAGTGGAGACTAATAAGTGATGCCCTTTTTACATCTTGGGAAAAAAAATATCGTTGTCTTTTAATTCTTTTTATTCAGTATCAGAAACATAATTTTAGCATAGCACTCCTTGCAATACGCATTTCTCCTATTTCCTTGTTGGATATGGCATGCATCTCTTCCTGTTGCTTTCCATAACTTTGTCATAGATTGCTATTGTTTGGCCTTTTTAGTGTATAGATTTTGTTAGAACTCTGAAATTAAGGTTGCGTGGGTGAGTATGAATGGTATTAGATGGTCTCTCTCTCTCTCTCTCTCTCTCTCTCTTCTTGGCAAGAATGTCATTTTACTGTTCAGGATCTTGTATTTCATCTTGCACAAGGAATTCTCAGGCTCCCATTGCACAGAATAAGAATAATTTTAATGTGTTTCTACTTTGTTTTTAATCCCTTCATCTAAAGAATCCGATACTCCAGCACATAAGCCCCGCCTGTGGCTTTCGCCTGGAGTACGCTTCCCTTTATATGTTATTACCTGTACACACATATGGCTGGCAGCTGTAACAACCATTAGCATGAGAGAGAGAGAGAGAGAGAGAGAGTTGCAGCACTTAGAACTGTAGCCACAGGATTCGGGAAGAAACACTTAATTATGTCTGGTAAGACCAGAAGATGAATTATGGAAATATGAGCCAATTCAGCATATTTTAGTCACTACAGTGTGTTTAGACAGAACTTACAGAAGTAAAATCTATCCTCCAACGACTCCCCAAGAACTGAAGCCTTCCCTCCCCGGAGAAGTTTGTAAATGCCAAAGGCTTAAGGTGATGATTGTCGACCAAGGCTTAACATGGGCATTGAAATAGTGGCTGAATATTGTGGTAAAGATAATGACACTTAAGGTGATGATTGTCGATGAAGACTCCATTGACGATGATCAATGACTATTGTTACGATAGCGATGATGTTATTACGATAGAGATGGAGGGAATAAGAGTTTCTCACCCTGGAGGATTCTTTCTTTGGCCTTTCATCTAAAATTCTTGATAGTTATAGGCACTTAGTTCTTTAGTACAAAACATGGAGAGAGTATTTTACGATTTATATAAGACTAGATATATCTTTGATGAGTCACATATGTCTTTTTCTAGAAAAGAAATGAATAATAATTTATATGATAGTAATAAATGTTCCTCGAATGAGTGTCATATATCTTCTTCTAAAAAATGTGATGAGCAAGAAAACTGAGTTTAAAATTTATAGGATAAAGAGATATGTATATTCTAAAATTTTATATGATGTGTATTTTAAAATATATGACATCTCACTCTTATAAGATCAAGCTCAAAATTTAATATAAATATATTTTTATTTTTAAAATTATATTATATATATATATACGGAAAGAAAGAGGGACATGTGCTTGGTTTTAATGGGATAAGTAGGAAATGGATTTAGCTAATGCTTGGAGGTTGATTAATTCCTTTTATGGTTTGTCATCTACGAGATTTACGTAGCCAACACATTGGATAGACGAATCATAGCTTCTTCCATAAACATCATCATCACACTGCACTCTCCAATTTATCACCATTCGAATGGCTTCAACACCTCCCGAATTCTCAAAAGGAAAACAAAGCAATAAAAGAAGAAAGAAGGAAAACGTTTATACCAATCATCATCAACACCTGACAACAGTGTAGGACTTATTTCCCTCGGATCGCGCGCTCAGAAGTCATCGCCACCGAGGTCATCCTCCACCCTCTCCGCCACATCGTCGGCGATCTTGTCCTCGGCGTAGTCGATCCCCTCCGCCAGCGCCAGCCCCCCCAGCATCCCTGCCGCCGCCCCCACCGCTAGCCCCGTCCCCATCCCAAACTTTGACTTGCTCTTCTCCTCCTGCCCGTACGCCATCGTCGGCGGCGGCGCCGCCTGAGCCCCGTACCCCACCGCCGGAGGCGCGCCGTAGGGGTAATACCCCGCGCCGGTCGGTGCCCCGTAGGGGTACCCCATCGGCGGCTGCGCGTAGGGGTACCCAGACGGCGCCGCGGCGTACGGTGGCCCGTAGCCGTAGCCGGCGCTGGAAGGCGGGTAGTCCCTCGAGGTGGCCTGGCCGTAGGGCGAGCCGTAGTATCGGGCCTGCTCCTTGACGGCAACCTTGATCTCGATCTTGCCCTGGGGGCGGCCGGAGGGACGCTTGAGCTTGAGGGCGCGGACGAGCTTCCCGCTGAGTCCGACCTCGTCGAGGACGTCGCGGAGAGGGAGTCGGGCGGAGCCGACCAGGGGCTTGACGCCCTCGGCGGCGCCGGCGTGGACGACGTCGAAGGCGAGGGTTGCGTCCTCGATGGGCAGGCCGGGGGGGACGGGCAGCGTGAGCTTCTCGTCCCACACGGGGTCATCGTCGTCGCCATCCACGGCGACCTTGGTGGAGCACTTGGCGGCTGGGTCGACCCAGGCAACGACGTAGGGCTTGAGGTCGCCGTGGCGCCAGTTGACGTTCTTGAGGTTGCGGGCGGAGGCGACGGTGACCTCCACCTCGTAGCGCGCGGCCATCGCCTGCCTTCTTCTCGAGCTCTTCCCAAGACAGTAGTAGAAGCGAAACGGAGAACGGGAACCCTAACGTCGCGATGGAAACACACTTATAGGGATGTCGAGATCGGGGAGTCAGTTGCGAACCCCTGAAGCGGTCAAGGGTGTGTTGCGTCAAAATTGGCGGAGGTATCTTTTGCGAATCTCAACCCATGTGGTGTGACTTCATCCAGCCGTACAATGACGTATACTTGGGAACATAACCGTTTGAACATCCACCCAAATGGGCTCAGATCCATCTTGGTCTAACTTAGATGGGCTTCAGATCCATGAGCCCAAAGAGACCTGGCTTGGATCTTTAAGAATCGTGCATATGGTATTAAGCTTGTGCAAGTTTAATTCAACCATTCCGACGAGTAACCAAAGGCAAGAAGACACACATGATCACAAGCGGACGATGGCACGCATCCCTGTCAACTGCCAACTCCACCTTCGAAGGGGCTATTTTAATGCAGACATGACCATATGATAGATTAGATTAGGGTGTCAGGCTTAGAAAACCTGTCTGCAACCGAGACACATACTACAAAGACCAAAACCTTGTCAAGGCTAGAAGAACCTTCATCAACAAGAGTAGGCTTGGAAGCACATAGATCGCGTCCGTGTCCGGCGACCATCAGGCAGGGCTGGCAGAGCTGTGATCGTTGTCCCCCACCCTAACCAGAAATGGTTCTGAGCAGGTATGATAAGGAACCCTAGTGAGAGTGACAGGTAGAAGCAAGAAGAAGCTTCAGCGAAGAGCTCGCAATAGCAGGACCTGCCTTTGTGATCCTGCGTAGAGCCAACGAGACTGTGTAGGTTGGTGTTGTTGGGACGTTGATGACGAAGGATGAGGTTGGATGGGGAGAAGACAACGTTGAAACCCTAGAATCTGGAGTCGGAAGCATGCATGGTGGCCCGCACGTAACGCATGTGCCGGGGTTTGACCGGTCTCCGAACACGCTTCCTTAAAATTAGATCCGATGACAATACCCGATGATTAGGATTTCATGTAATCTAATATATGATCCGAGTCCAAGAATTGTCGATCGGATTCGGATCGAGTTCCAAGGTGGATCCGACTCAAACTATACCTGTTTGAGCATTAGTAGTGAGTAGCCTTTTTGTACTGGAGATGGAGGGAGGTTCTCTCTCTAACTATAACACTATTTGAGCATCTAATCCTAATGGTACAAGTAATTAACCTCCACGCCTAATTGGGAAATCCAACGTGAATCAATCAAAGATGTCGTCTTAGCTATCTATCTATATCCTCTCTTGGCAGTGTCTCCCCGCTTCCCAACCCTCCACCCCCACTTTGGTCTCTCACGGGTGGGGCCCTGTTGGAGAATGAGATGCCCACATGGAGTAGCCTTTGTTGGGGGGCGATCTAAGAGCCCGGTAGACGCCACAACACACTGTCTACCATTGGCACACGCTCGGGACATGTGGGGGCTTTGATTTGATACGCATCATCGTCCTTGTGCACCTCAGTTGCAGGCACGTGATGGTGAATCCCAATGTCTGCAACAGTGTCACCTCTCTCTCTCTCTCTCTCTCTCTCTGGAAATAGAGTTTAGCATTAGTGGAATTTGCATGCCAATCAACCCTTGAGAGGATTGAGACATCGCTCAGGGATGCATGTTTGTGATGTAGACTCAAGTCACGACCCTTAGTCCTTTGAGATTGGTCAAATGGCTTGTGGTTTGTGCGTTGGGCTGCCATGCCTCCATGCTCGAGTGGCCAACAAGTGCAGGGAGAAGACAATGCCACAAAATACTGCTGCTGTTCCTCCACCGAGCGATCGAACACAAGACACTAGAGTCTTTGAAACGTTGGGTTTTGCTTGATTGATTTTTACCGAGGGAGGGAGAGAGGGAGACGATGTTGCAGGTTAATGGTGGATTCATTACGGAAGGTAAACATGCTCGTCATTTGTCGTGTTGAGGCTCTCTGAGATGGAGACGAGGTGAAATGAAGGCCCAGGCACGATAAACAATGGGTGGTGCAGGCCATTAAGGAGACCGGCGCAAATAAAGTAATGGTTGCACTGGTGCTTATAAGGGGGAGGTGAATCATCAGGTAGCCTGAGATCGAGGGATAGAGAGGAAGAGATCAGCAGAACCGGAATCCGAGATGGCGGGGCTTGGATCTCCTTGTGGCGCATGCAAGTTCCTGAGGAGGAAGTGCGTGCGGGGGTGCGTCTTCGCCCCTTACTTCAGCCACGAGCAGGCGGCGGCCCACTTCGCGGCTGTCCACAAGGTGTTCGGGGCCAGCAACGCCTCCAAGCTCCTCATGCACCTCCCGGTCGCCGACCGCTCCGAGGCGGCGCTCACCATCTCCTACGAGGCGCAGGCTCGCCTCCAAGACCCCATCTACGGTTGCGTTGCTCACATCTTCGCGCTGCAACAACAGGTGAGCGTCTGCTGCTCGCAAGTCACATTGCCGACGTGCTCAGATCACATCCTCGGTCTTAATGGAAGAGCTTCCGTTGCTATGTAGGTGGTGACCCTGGAAGCCCAACTGGCCTCCTTGAAGGCTCAAACCGCACAAGGTTTTGTCAGCGGCTACTCTTCGATTCCCAGGCTTGAAGAAGACAGATACGGCAACAAGCTCCCACCCTACCGACCGGGAGAGAGCTTACCCCTGATGCCCCAGCCTTTAGCTGCAGACGCCCCCGTGAATCCTGAAGCCATGCTATGCCAAGACAACGAGCTTGTGGACTCCAACTCCTTCCAATCTTCCCAACTCGAGCTCGTCGATGACAACTCATCCTGCGCCATGGCCTCCCTCGATCTCGAAGCATACACATGGAGATCGGCGCATCACCATGACATGGAGGACCTTCACTCGGTGGCATTTGGCCGTCTCAATTGCGCGTGAGAGGGCGAGGTGGTGGAGGGAGTCGAAAGGTTTTGATTCTTGCAACTCCCACAAGTCCATGGAAGAAGCTGGGTCTTGCTCCTGTGATGGGGCTCGTCAATGTACTGTACCTACATAGGAATAAGAGAGCTGAGCTCGTTCGAGCTTACTGTCTTCGCAATGGGGAGTCACGGTTGTTAGATTAGGAAATCTAGGAGACCCTCGGGATCCAAAAACCCTGCCTCGAAATCATGATGATTAGGTTTTTATATGGTTGGCATTCGGAAAAGGTGCTCATAATTGTATGCACTTGTTCCCACTGAATGCTTGCAAGATCCAAACGACGAGTTCTGATCTCCAGGAGACAGTGCTGAAAAGGCAGATGAACAGTTTGTTAATCCTGCAGTGATCCTTTCTCTTACACAGTAAATAACAAGTGTGATTCGGCTCATTCGATGAAACACTGTGCAACCAAAGACTTCCAAGTATGTGAGTTCCGTAAGAACATTAACCAAGTAGGTCGATGCCTTGTTTTCTTACCAGAAATCAATTGCATGGACAAAGGGAGAGGGAAATCTTATTGACACAAGCATAACGCTCTCTCTCTCTGTCTCTCTCTTATCGATCTATCTCTTCCCTAATATGTATGCCTCTTCTTTGTTTTCGAGATAGAAGCCGGTATTTGGATCGCAACTTTGATGACTGGGGGAGCTTTCCGACACACTCAAGCTTGTTCCTTCTTCCTTTCGGCTGTCGACCTTTCCATCACCCCCAACTGCGATGGTGATCGGAGAAAAGATGATGCTTCTTCATAGGCTAAACCAAATTGGCTTTAGCTAGTGGAAAACATCTGATCTGTTGCACCATTCTTTATTTCGTTTCTTCTGGCTTTCAGGTGGTGATGTGTATCGGAAAACAATGTTTGACCTGCTTTTGAGTCTGAATTCAAACATCTTAAGCTTCGGTGTATCGGTCAAACAATGGGTTCTAAAAAGAGTTAAAGCTAACTCAATCATCAAAGGGAGGGATGTAAAATGTTATTCAAATGGTTGATGTGGAATCTCGTCCAAATGAATAGAGTATTAGTTGGAGTTTGCACCACTACAAGTTGCAGGCTTTGGTATACATACTTACATGCTCTGACATGGCAGCTATCGGATAAACTCGATGTATTTTTTTCTGATCACATCTCATACATACTTCAACAGTACAATCCTAGTTTCTCTAAGGTTTAGTTTTCTTGCAGTAAAAGACACAAAACTCCTCCTTCACGGAAAAAAGGTTCGACGTTGTCTTGACTCCTTTCCCCTTACGGATCAAACGGAACCCAAGGATAGAGAGAAGAAGAACACACACACACATACACACACATAACTTGGAAGCTGCAGGATCAAGAACCAAACTACAGGATATGAAACCATTTGAAATGAGCATCTTCAGATCAATGTGATCAGTTACACACACGTCGTCATTCAGAAACCAGGAACGTGATTGCAAGAACAAAAGCATAATTCAATGTCGGTGCACATCAATCTCCGTCTGGAAACGTATGTTCCGAGTAATCTGGTGTAGAAACACGGGGCACGGTTATGCCTCGGGTTAGGGTTAGTGCTTCTCGACCTGCCTATCGTTGCCATCCAACAAGGAGGGAATCATATGGCATTATTATTTGCATCATTAAGAGGGGCATCCGGAAGAATGTTTTGCTAAATATATGTACAAAAGAATACTGCCCCTTCGTATCTGAACACAAATTTCATCACCGTTACGCATTGCAAATATTATAAACCCTGACATCTGTGTCTGTAATGGTGAGTGTATATCAATGAATCCGATCGTCGCTCATTCGTGGTATTCTTACTGTCAGGTTCTTCAACGATCCAACATAACTATCTACAAATGGGAGGTCTAGCACTTCATCGTCAGCTTCACCCACGTCACTCGTCTCGGATAATCTTTGAAGGTTACCCAGATATTCGCTACCGCCACCATGCACATCATCACTGTGATGACTATAATCATGGTGCCCAAAGCTGGGGGGTTCAAGAAAACTGGCCTGAGCCGCAGAAGCAGTAAGAGCTGTACGGTCCCACCACCGATGATGCATGATGTGACGGTCTAGATCTTGAGGTGCAGAATTCTTGAACAAGGAGCCAGAAGTGGAGGCTTCAATGTGACTCTGAAGACGGTCAGAGAAGGGAAGATCCCAGCTCTGATCCGTGTTCTTGACCTCAGTTTGCAGGTTGCTCTGTGTCGCATGAAAATCTTGGATCGACTCAAAAGCCATTTCTTTTTCTGGCAAAGGTGAATCTTCTGGATTTTCCGGATCCTCGAGAGGCTTGGAAGTGTAATACCAATCCAGAATATATGGGTGATTTCTTTGTTCATGATTTGTTAGCCAGACAGACCCCGGGTGGTGGTCATACCTTGGAAAGCCTCCATTACCAGAAAACACATTGCCTGAAGGGAATCTGTGGATGATTTCATGCCGGACTCTCAAACCTCGGAGTGCTTGCCATGTCCATGTGTGTGAATTATCCTGCAGACGGCCTTGGTGGATCTGCTTCTCCTTGAAATTTTGAAGAGTGGAAAGGAACTGTCGACCATCATCACTGGGTTCCCAGGTCGGGTATGTGCATTGGAAGCTGCATAAGATGCAAACAGCCTGAAAGTTAAGAAACCAATTGACATGAAAATAAGATCAAAGATGGAATCCCAATAATCATGTTGACCTTATGAAAGCGAGAGAAGACAAGAATGTCTTTACCTCGACCGGTATGCTTCTTGGAATTAATAAGCAGCATATGTATATTAATAAAGAGAGAAGATGGTAATAAACTATATAAAAACCAGCTCCAGAGCACTCCGGATTATTAATCTCTGGTGAATGTCTTACTTGATTTGGTAGTTCTGAAGCATTATCCACATTAAACAAATCAGGGTATTCTACATAAAACAGGACATACGGAAATATTAAAATAAAAATTAGCTAGTTATTCCAACCTCAGGAATGGTCAAACAAGCACAGTAGAATTCAAAATAACTCTGTGCCTTTTTATTAACTACATACTGGACATAACTATGATGCTGAGTTGTAGAAAAATTTGCAAATATATTCATGAGGAACACATTGACAACAAAACATGTGCTTCAGTCCCATGCCACATTGAAATAAAAATTTGCTTCAGGAAAATCTAATAAGAGACCCAACCACAAACAGTAGATAAGTTGATGCTAATCTATCATTCCCTGACGCTTTAGCGAAAAAGAATGTGAAATATCATCTCTGCTTAAGTGACTTAACACTGCCAATAAAGCAGTACCTGAAGAAAGACTTCTCCATTTTCCCTTGGGAACTCCTCCTCTCTCTTGCTGCATCATAGGGAGAACCGTACTGCCCATTCCCATGGCTTTTGAAGTCAAAAGCACTGAAACTGCACCGCAACGACGAAGGAAAAATGTGAATGAAGAGAGGGAGAGAAAGAGTAGAATCAGAAAGCGAATGAATAACCTGCAGATGTGACCAACGCCATCAACATACACTGTGTAGTCCGAGATAAAGCGTAGGATATCGTCAACACGCTATAAAGCCACAAAATGTAGTGTTACAAAGTGCATATTGTCATGCCATACTTTCCAATTTGAAATAATGAGAGATACCTCGGGTACAACAAATATTAACATAATTGGAGTTAGGAAAATTGACACCATCTCCTCCAGCAACATCATTCCAGTATACTGCAACAATAACAAATCTCATGACCAAGACTATTCAAAGCTTGCAAGTAAGCTGGACGATAGGTACAAAAAAGCAGAGGAAGTTGACATACGGATGCACAGTACATATTATATAAGTTGGTGCTAGACATGCAGAAAATTTTCAAAGCAATATTTTGTTTTGCTATTTACTAATATTGACTAATTTTGCTCCAAAAAATTTAGTGGACAGGTAGCAAGTGATAATCTAATTCATCAATATATAGATAAAGCGAAACTAGTCAAGTCAGAATATAGCTTCTGAAGCAATCATTAACAAATTGAACATATGCAAGCTGGATTGTGAAATTTTCACCATTATGCAGTCATCATCTTTCAGCACTACAGGTTTTTGAAATCTCACTATGCTATTGCATTTGTTTCAAAAGAAAGGAGGCTAATATGAAGTCAACAAATAGACAAAGTATTTTCGCTAGCACCATCTCTGATGTATGACGAGTTCATGAAAAGTAAGGAAAATATTTTTTTTATATCTGAGAATGAACAAAGGGAAAAAGAAATAAACGAAAAGATAACAACAGTGAAGAATAATTAAAAAAAGATAATTACTAGATTTACTCTAGCTTAAGGAGTAATATTGTTTTATAACTTCGCATGTATCACATGTAGATAATAAAATTACCAAGGTAAGCAATTCCGAATAATACTGCCAGGTACGGGCGGTACGTACCGGTCCGACGGTATACCGGTACGCAGACCGTCCGTTACCAGGCGGAACGAATAATAATATTAAAATAATATATATATTAGAAAAAGGCTCGGCGACGTCGCCGAGGCGATTATATATATACATATATACATATATACATAATTTAAATAAACGAGGCGACGTCGCCGAGGCGATGCGACGTCGGCTTTTAAATAAATAAATAAATAAATAAATATATATATATATATATATATATATATATATATATATATATATATATATATATATATATATATATATATATCATATATATATATATATATATT